CAGCAATGCGAGACAGAGGGGTTCCTAGAGACCTGAGGAGACTTTTGAAGTTAGAGAGTTGGCCAGGAGGCAGGGAGCGAGAGGGAGGACTGGGGTGCTTCAGGCACAGAGATTGGGATGGGGGAGGGGGGGAAGGAGTGGCGAGAAAGCATGCAGGAGGATGAAGAGAGAAGGAGTTTGGGGGGGTAGGGGAGTGATGGGCGGCGCCCCTCCCTGCCCCCTTTTCTTCGGGCCTCTGGCCTCGGCCCTTCCTGTGAGTCTGGGAGCAGCCAGAAGAAAGCCCCATCACTCAGCCCCCTTCCTTCTCCAGAGGCCCTTCCCATCCCACACTCACCTGGTCTCCTCCGCCATCTCCACTGCAGGGTCTTCCTGCCGCCAGCCCTGTTCCTGCCCATCCGTCCACCTGCCCATGTCCCCAGAGCAGCGAGGAGGTTGCACAGGGAGTGACAGTCTAGTTCTGGACTCACCCCCTGCTCCATCCACACCATCACCGCTTCTCAGTGAGTCCTGGAGGCTCGGACTATTCCTCTGTTCAACAAATACTTACTGAGCACCTACTGTGTGTCAGGCCCTGTACAAGGCCCTGGGGGCACCAGACCAGGCCTTGCCCTCTCAGGCCAGCTTCCAGAAGTGCAGGCGTGGTCCTGGTGGGGCTAGAGGGGGTGGCAGCCTCTCTGAGGGCTCTTGTCCGAGTGGCTTCAACTTCCCTGTGAAGTGGAAACAATAGCCTTGCCTGTCGCATGAAGCCTGATGTGCCTGGTGAGTATACTCGCTCTGAAGGGACACCCGTTGCTGTCATTCCTATCGCTGCCTCCTCTCCAAAGAGCACTTGGCCCCACATGTAAAGGTCCCCTGATCCCTTCAGGAGACAGCCCCGGGGCCCAGGGCAGTCCGATCCTGCCCTAGCCAGTTTTGCTCAGTGGATAGAGGGTTGGCCTGCAGACCAAAGGGTCCCGGGTTCGATTCCAGTCAAGGGCACATACCTGGGTTGCAGGTTCCTCCCTGGCCTGGGTCCTGGTCGGGGCTCATGCAGGCGGCAACCAATTGATGCGTTTCTCTCACATCGATGTTTCTCTCTGTCTCTTCCTCTCTCTTCCACTCTCCCTAAAAATGAATGGAAAAATATTCTCGGGTAAGGATTTAAAAATAAAATGAATAATAATAATGATAATTTAAAAAAAAAGAGTCCAATCCTGGCTCCAGTAGGTACTGCTGGGAGCCAAGGCACCCACTTCCCTTCTCTGAGCCTCAGTTTATTTATCTGCAAAATGGGAATAATGATAGAACCTCCACTGGGAGGGATGTCATAAGGAAAAGAAACAATAAAGCATGAAAAACTCATAGGACAGTGCATGTACTTGGAATTTGGAAAATATTAGCAGGTCATTACATTTAAAAAGTAACACATGACCATGTTTGGAAATTTGTGAAATATGAAAGTATGAAGGAAGGTAGGTACCAAATATTGCTTACAAAGGGATATTGAAAAGCAAAACCATATGCTAAGGAAGCTGACCAGTATGCTAAAGACAGTGTGGTCCATGTCTTACAAAGACTGGTTGGAAAGGAAAAAAAACAATAATAACTATTATTATTATCAACATTTGCTAGGCACTCACTAAATACCAGTACTTTTAAGTACTTGACAAGGATTTTCTCAATCTATCCTCATCCAACACACGGAGGTAGCTGCTATAATTATTCCCATTTCTCAGAAGAGGAAACTGAGCCACAGAAAAGTGACCTCAATGGCTGCTGTAACAAGGGGTTTATTTTCTTTTTAAAATATATTTTTATTGATTTCAGAGAGGAAGGGAGAGGGAGAGAGAGATAGAAACATCAGTGATGAGAGAGAATCATTGATCGGCTGCATCCTGCATGCCCCCTACTGGGGATCGAGCCTGCAACCTAGGTATGTGCCCTTGACCAAAATCAAACCTGGGACCCTTCAGTCCTCAGGCTGAAGCTCTATCCACTGAGCCAAACCGGCTACAGCAAGGCGTTTATTTTCTCACATAAAAGACTACAGAGATAGGTGTGTGTCTGTGGGCCTTGGCTCAGCAGTTCAAAGATGAGAGGCCTGAGGTGCCCCCTGTTCTCATGATCACAAAATGGCTGCTGCAGCTCTACCATCACCGCCGAGGAAGGAAGGAGAAAGGGCAAGCTTCATTGACATCCCCATGTAACACACAGTGAGCAATGAGCAGAGCTGAGACTCAACCCGGCGACCTGACTCCGGGGCAAGGCCGTAACCACCGTCCAGGACAGCCTCCTGGCTGGGGCGCTGCGGACAAAGGACCTGTGACTGAGGAGGCCCCGTGCACCGCCTGCCAACTCCCAGAGGCTGTTCCGGGGGTAGGAGGGCAGCTTTCGCTTGCTGTGGAGGAACTAGGCATGAGGTGTGCAGACATGGACTCTGAGGTCCCTTCCGGCCCATCTCAGCAGCCTGGTGACTGGACTGGGAGCTTCTCGAGGGCAGAGACCTTGTCCTGGCCTTCCTTGTCTCCAAGGCCAGCTCTGGGGCCTGCACACAGTGGGTGCCCAGCCAGTGAGTGAACAACGGGGTGGATAGAGACAGGATGGCATGAACAGGCTGTGAAGGACAACAAGGCCTCGGACTCGCCTACCTCCTCTGGGTGCCACAAAGAAGCCTCTGTGTCCCAGCTAAGGAGCATCTGGGGACCTCCAGCCCCTATCAACCGGGCAGGGTAGCCAAGACCTTCAAACCCTGGGGCCCAGTCAAGGTGTGGGAAGAGATGCTAAGGCCCAGTTACAAATGCTCCCACATGAGCAAGCGGGTCATGTTCTCACACCTGAAAGCAGAGCCAGAGGGACCCACTGCAGGCGGCTGGCCCATTCAAGGCCCTGCTTCCCTCCCACTTGTCCCAGCCAGGGCCTCAGACTCCCTGGGCCGCCCTGCCTCCAGCCTGTATGCCGTCCACACTGCAACATGCCTCTCTGATAGCACCTGCATCATCACTGCAGTCCTGGTTCCAAAGCCGCCAACAGCACCAAGGATAAAGGGGGGATGGCTCCCACTCTCTGAGAGCCCCTCTTTGCTCCCACGCTGAGCACTGGGTCACGCACAGGTACATGTGACTATTGACAATTCATAGCAAATCTGCGAGATATGTTCCAACATTCACCCCATTTTATAGCAAAGGAAACTGAGGCCAGGGAGAGTAAGGAAAGCCCTCTAAGCCAGTGCCCTTCCCCTCTCTCCCTTCCTTGGCTCTCTACAGCCAGAGAGGAGACCCTCGGACACTGTACTTCATATCCATGTGCCCTGTGCAAGCCCAATTCTGAACAGGTGTCAGGCAATGTGTTAAACTGGGCTGAATAAAGACTTAATTTTAGACTCGTTTACCCCTCCCACCTATACCCGTGCCTACCCCTCCCCTCCTCTGTGCAGAGGCAGAATTTGGGCAATCAGGGAAGACAGACTCACTGGGAGACCACTTACATGAGCTGCAGTTAGAATAGAATAAAGGGGACATTTGCTGCTCCAAATGTCCAATAAGTCACAAGTTGCATTTATTCTGGAGCCTTCTGGACACTCCAGACTCTCGGATCATCGTGCATCTATTTTAATTATGCAAATATTGATTGCAAACCCACAATGTGCCAGACTGGACCTGGAGCGTGGGGGCACGGAGCAAAGGCAAGTCGTGCCCTGAAACCTCAGCCCAGCCCTGGCAGCTTCTGGTCCCTGGGAACAGGGGTTCAAGGTGAATTAGTTCAGGCGGCAGCTGCCGAGAGCTTGCAGCGAGCCAGCCTTGTCTGAGCACCGAGGAGACGCCAAGGAGGAGCCATCAGGTCTCTGTCTTTGGGACGCTGCTGTTCCCCGAGCAAGCCGGCATGGCCACCGTACCCAGGCCACACCGAAGGTGTGAGCCAGAGTCACAGGCTTCTTCTCTGTGGAATTTCAAGGAGAAAAGCCTCACATCCTTGCTCTGCAGCTGGTCGGGAGGTCCTCTGGTTCCCCACAGCTCTTGTGTGTGGGTGCAAAGAGCCACCGGCCCACTGTGCTGTCCATCCACCCCACCTCGCCACCTCAGCAGCAGGGCCAGCGGGCTAACATGGGCCAGAGCTGAAAGAGCTGCAGGACTCAGACTCGGTCTGAGGAGTGCTCAGCGAAGCCCAAAGTCAAGAGGGGAAACCAAAAGAGAATTTGAAGTCTCTGGCACTTGTAGCAAACTTCACACACAGCCTAATTGCTGGGCAGATTAACATACATCATCACACTAAATGCCTATTTACCGCAGATCCTGATGCAGCACGTTCCCATTTCAACTAAAATGGCAAGGAATGCTAAGAGGTAAAAAAACAAAAAAACAAAAAACAAAACCCACAAACAAACAAAAAACCTCTAAAGAGACAAAGCAGTAATCAGAACTAGACTCAGATGTGACGTCAGTGCTGGAATTATCAGACAGGGAATTTAAAGTAACTATGATTAATATGTTAAGGGCTCTAATTGAAAAAGCAGGCAACATGCAAGAACAGATGGGTAATGTAAGCGGAGAGATGGAAACTCGAAGAAAAAATGCAGGGAAACGCTAGAAACAAAAAACACTGTAACAGAACTGAAAAGTGCCTTTGACGGGCTGATCAATAGACCGGACACAGCTGAGAGAAGAACCAGTGAGCCCGAGGATATGTCAGTGGAAATGTCCCAAACTGAAGTGCGAAGAGAAGAGACTGAAAGAAACAAGAGGGTAGCCCGTAACTGTGGACAGTGTCCAGGTGTGACACACATGGGACTGGATTACCAGAAGGAGAGGAAAACGAGACAGAGCAGGAGAAATATTTGAAGTACTAATGGCCAAGAACTTTCAAAAAGTAATGAGCCCTGGCCAGTTTGGCTCAGTGGATAGAGCGTCGGCCTGCGGACTGAAGGGTCCCAGGTTCGATTCCGGTCAAGGGCACATGCCTGGGTTGCGGGCCCCGGTGGGGGGAGTGCAGGAGAAGGCCAATCAATGATTCTCTCTCATCATTGATGTTTCTATCTCTCTTCCTTCCTCTCTGAAATCAATAAAAATATTTTAAAAAAACGTAATAACGACAGGCAGCAAACTACACATCCAGGAATCTCAGAGAACACCAAGCAGGATAAGGAATAATACATTTTGCCCAACTGACATGGCTCAGTGGTTGAGTGCGACCTATGAACCAGGAGGTCATGGTTCAATTCCCAGTCAGGGCACATGCCCGGGTTGCGGGCTCGATCCCCTGTTGGGGGACGTGCAGGAGGCAGCCGATCAATGCTTCTCTCTCATCATTGATGTTTCTATCTCTCTCTCCCATCCTCTCTGAAATCAATAAAAATGTATTTTTTTAAAAAAGAATAATAAATGTTAAAATCCCAGGAAAAGATAAAAAACACACAAAAAGTACCACATCCAGGCATA